AGGGTGGGAGGGATGGGGTGACTGGGTGATAGACACTGGGGAGGGTATGTGCTCTGGTAAGCGCTGTGAATTGTGCAAGACTGTTGAATCTCAGATCTGTACCTCTGAAACAAATAATGCAATATATGTTAAGAAAAAAAAAAAAGAAGAAGAAGGTAGCAGGAGGGGAAGAATGAAGCGGGGGAAATCGGAGGGGTAGACGAGCCATGAGAGACGATGGACTCTGAAAAACAAACTGAGGGTTCTAGAGGGGAGAGGGATGGAAGGATGGGTTAGCCTGGTGGTGGGTATTGAGGAGGGCACATTCTGCATGGAGCACTGGGTGTTATGCACAAACAATGAATCATGGAACACTTCATCTAAAACTAATGATGTAATGTATGGGGATTAACATAAGAATATAAAAAATAAAAAAATTTAAAAAAATTAAAAAAAAAAAGAGTCATAACATCTTAAATGAGGAGAGCCTCAGATGTCATTTACCTCAACTTCATAGCATTCATCTCAATTTGAGGTTTTCAAAAATATATGTATTTTCGCACAGTCATGTACATTTATCTATTTGTTTAATATTTGTCTTCCTCAGTAGACACAAGGGCAGGGCCTACAAATCCCCAGTGCCTGCTATACCATAGACACACAGTAGGTGCTTACAGTATGCGTGCAGTGCAGGATTGTTGATGGTTAAATCACAAGAGAAGCTAGTTATCTCTAGACTAACTGCAAAGATTTCCACCAGTACAGCGACTAACCCTCACTAAGATGGTTGTGGCTGCATGGGACGTCATTCTGCTGCTCCTCATGCTCACTGGGATAAAGAATTCCGGAACTCTCTCAGGCTCATCAGCTTCCTTGCCCCTTGAAGACCTTTTTCACTCCTAACCTTGCTGGACACAAGAAACTGTGAGGGTCCTGCTATTTTTTCTATGCCCTACTTTGGAAAGAGAGCACAATTCTTCTGCTCTCAGGCTTTTCTACCCATCTTGGAGTTCTGTTCCTACTCTCCTTTCTGGATCCAGCCTAGGGGACATGAAATGTTTTCAAGGGCTCAGCAATATCTAACTTTCTTGCTTTACCTTTATCTGGTCCAGAGGGTCTCTTTTTCACCTGGAGGCAGGGAGGACATTCACCCACTGGCCAGGTATTCCTCCAGATCTTTTCTCCAGCCTTAGTCTCTCCTTTGGAATCAAAAGCCAGGGATTTGACTTATTCTCTGTAGTTTGTGAGATTTCCTCTTTTTCCTGAGGACATATGCTGCTGGTTCAATAGAAATTTGAGAAAATACAACCCCGTGGTTAACATCTCAAAAATAAAATCTGCCTCGTATACATCATGAGTGGCTGAATTTTAAGGGAATGAAATTAGCAATAGTTATCCCAGATTTCCAAAGTCACTCTCGAACGTTTATCAGTCTGCTACTGATTCTAGGAAGAAAGAAGCATGCCACTTGGGAAAAAGAAAGTTTGTAAAATGAGTAAGTCTGCAGGGATGCCTGTTAGTTGTTTGTTGTTTTTTGTTTTTTGCCACTGTCATAAAGTTTCTCCCAAACAGTTGAGGTTCTGATAAAATAAATATGTCATGTTATTTAGGAGTGGATGACAGGCTGAGAGTCACTGAGCAGGTGACAAGCTGTCCTTGATTTGGTAAGTTTCCATGCTGTCTTCAGCTGATACTGATCTCATATTAAGTGATATGCAATGAGAGTTTCCTCTGTCAGTTCAGTGACACGATTTTAGGTAAGGAAGGTAGAATGTCTCTGCGTCAGCTAGAGATGATTCTATTAGATATCACCTGTCTTAATAGCCCTACCTTCTTCGTCTGCTAAGCTGTGGGCAAATGAGATTTTTTGCTTTATCGTCAGGTTGCCAGACAGGACTCAGGTAACTGTATGTAAAATCTCATGCTCTGTTGCACAATAGTTGATGTTTATGAGGAAAAATAAGTATTTTTAAGCTTTTTATAGCATTTGTTCCTTCACAGCAAGAAAATATTGCAAGTCTGTGCAAGGCTTTATATTGTCATGCTTAACCACTATGACTTTTACAACTGCATGTTAGCTGGGCACAGTAAATTACTGGAAAAGCGCTATGAGGATGTCATTGAGCTTTGCCTGCTGCGTGGTAATCTTCAGAAGTTACAGAAAAACATAGCCACCGATGTCATTTCAAGCTCCTTTTACTACACTAACAGTCTGAGATGCCACTCTTAATAACATGAGGCCATTTTTAAGCAAATTCTTGATGGAACAGTCTTCTTATAGAAAATGTTACCAAGCAAGTATTTCCTTTCTTTTTTTTTTTTTAAGATTTTATTTATTTGTTTGACAGAGAGAGAGATAGGGAGAGAGGGAATACAAGCAGGGGGAGTGGGAGAGGGAGAAGCAGGCTTCCCGCAGAGCAGGGAGCCCGATGCTGGGCTCGATCCCAGGACCCTGGGATCATGACCTGAGCCAAAGGCAGATGCTTAACGACTGAGCCACCCAGGCACCCCACCAAGCAAGTATTTCTCTAGAATCCACTTCATGATCAATTAGAGGCCTGATTAGGTGTTTGTTACCTAACAAAGCCCCATCAGAGGAAGGGAATCAAATGTTCCAACTTTCTAAATTGCAGTCCTAGTTAAAGACTCCTGTAAATGGCAGGGTAGGGCCTGTGGGGCTCCTGGTGCAGGGCCATCCTCTCTAATGTAGCCAGGGCCTGCCATGCTGGTCTTTTGGGGGTGGATGAGTTCATACTGGGAAGACCATGAAGAACATTTAAAATGAATAAAATGTTATAAAGGACTCAAGTTTTAGGAAAACTGATTTCCCAGTAAGGGCCATCTTGAAATAGAAGGTTCTCCTGATGGGATTTTGGAGAATGGACACTTAACACCAAAACCAAACGTTTATTGGTTAAGAAAAAATGCCAAATGTCATCCAACACCTGATAGGAATCAGGTAAAATAAGGACACTTTCTGAGTTTTCCTACATAGTGTCTCAGCTTCTAGGACAGATGGTCTAACCTAGAATTTTTATGAAATGTTTGCCACTGAGGAATGGGATGGACAAAAACTACAGGATACAGTGCTAACTTTAATAGCTAAGCTTCTAGGCCCTGAGTCTGAACAAAGAAACAGGCTCTATCTCCAGTATTGCCTCAGGAAATTTCTTCCACAGTGAAACAACTAGGGAAAAGTCTTATTTGAATCAATGAAAAGTTCATAGTATAATTACATTTTTAAGGATGATAGGAGCTCTCCTATCCAATGTGATTGGGGCTGGTACTTGAGTAAACAGGGTAAACAATTTTTAAGTGAAATGACATAATGAAAACATTTATATCAACTTAAAACATATCATTGTACATTGTTTCCCATTTTTTGATGCACAACCAACATCTAATGTTTTCTGATTAGAGGTCCCTTCATCTTTTTTGCATAAACTACATCCAATATATGTTGTCTTCCAGGTTTACATTCTTTAAAATGGAATGAAAATTTAGCAATCTGAATTCAAAATACTCAATTTTACATTTTTAACCCAACTTTTTAGCACTATCTTGTCAATTATAATCAGCATTTTTTTTTTTTGCAACTTGTTACTATCAAGTTTTTTGGCAAACATTTAACTCAGTTTTCCTCGCAAAGATAACACTCATACTCATCCTTCATCAGTTTGTCAAATTGAAGTCACAAATTTACAGCAACAAGCACAACTGGCACAATCAAGTTTGGGAATAAGCACAATGACTTGGGTAAGCACACATCTTGCCTGGAAGGGCAGAAGTTAATGGATGTGCTGGAGAGCACCTCCTAGGCATAAGCATTCCCTATGGCAAAGGCAACCATCGGCATCTGTTAGAAAGAACTGGAGAACTCTGGTTCATCCATGTTGGTTGAAGGGCCTTTAATTAAGACTGTTCCTACTATAAATACATTTTCATTAATATGCATAGGTTGTAACTCTTAAAGAACATCTTTGCAAAATGTTTTCTAGTATGGGTTCTGCAGAACTTGCCTTAATGAATAGCTAACGTTCACTTATAATCAGCAGAATCTGTCTGCACACATAATTGGTGCTCTAAAGTGCTTTTCCTCAGCAATCTAGTTTACACTTGGTACTATAATTGGTTTGTTCATCAGACTATTTTTTTCTCAGATGGGAAGAGATAATGTTTTGGTCCACTCCTCATTGAGTTATCACAGTTTTAAAATTAATTTGGAGATTTAATGAGCTCTTTTTCCATTTATACATGCTTGAGATCCTAAATACCTCTCTATCAGTGTTTTTAGATTTTTTTCTTCTCCTAAATACCGACAGCAATAAAGTATGCTATGCCAAGAGTAGTTTAAAAAAGAAACTAAATAGATAATGGCCCTATTGGTATTAAGCTGTTAGATTTGGAAAATTTTAGAACTGAGAGAAAGAAGCATGCTTATACACACACCCACACAGAGGCAGAGAGAGACACAGAGTCAGAGAGAGAGAGAGAAGGACATAGGTAAAGAGAGAAAGACAGACACAGGCAGAGTTGATAGATTAATAAATACATATATATAGAGAGAGAGACAAAAAAAACAGAGATAGATACCAAGATAGGAATAGAGAGAAATAGAAAAGCAGAGGAAAACAGGTAAGGTGAGAGTTAGAAAGAGACAGAGTCTCACAGAGAGACAGAAAGAGACAGATGGAAGCAGAGACACTATGTGAAAGACAAAGGGAAACCGAGATATCTACAGAGGCAGAGGTGGAGCTACCTCAGCAATGTTGCTCAAGATTAGCTCAGGCTCTGCCCTGTTTGACCAAATCTGTAGAGCTGCAAGTATGTCAGTGGCCAGGATAGGCCAGCAGGCCCAGGGACCAAGAAGAGACACGGTGTCATAACAGACAATACCAGACCCATGAGTAGGTCATGGCCTGGACATTAATTAGGTGGCCCTGAACCACTTGTTCATAGTAGTTATTTTTTAACTTCAAATGTATTTAAATTTTTATCTTTGTTTGTTTGTTTGCCTGCAGAAAGGTACTGAAGGAAATCTCTGTTGGAGATCTTAATCCAAATGAGACTGTGCAGGCCAATTTGGAGGCCCAGCTCCTTTCCAAGCTGGACCACCCGGCTATTGTCAAGTTCCATGCAAGCTTTGTGGAGCAAGATAATTTCTGCATTATCACAGAATACTGTGAGGTGAGACTCTCCTCTTTTGGAATTCTCAGTAAAAATCTGTTTCACAGTATGTAGCTGTCTGTAAGGAGACATCTCATAAGTTCAGTGATCAAATCACAGGTTGGGCGGGGATGGGTTAAATAGATGATTGGGATTAAGGATGTTGTGATGAAAACCAGGTGTTGTATGAAAGTGTTGAATCACTATATCGTACACCTGAAACTAATATTACACTGTATATTAACTAACTGGAATTTAAATAAAAACTTAAAAAACCCACAAGCTGAGCTATAAAGACGTGGGATATGGTGTCTTGCAGCTAAGATTGATGCTCTCTGGGTAATTGACAAACCCACTTCCAGTGAAGGAGTAGTTTCTATGGGAGAGTGCTTCTTGGAGAGGGAGTAGTTTAGGGGAGGGTCACCCAAACCTTCTACAATGGTCCAATGCTACACTTGATCTTAGCCAAAAGGCTGAGAAGCGATACAACAATGGTCCAGTGCTTAGATGGACATTTAAATGCTGTAATAGGGGCCTGGACAGAGCAGAGGTCTATCTCTTGAGTTTTGGGTTCTAGGCCTGTTTCTCATTTTGCCCAGTGGAAATTTGGAAATGGAAATATGGCTCATTTTCCTCATGGAAATCTTTCTTCATATTTATCAATTTGTGATTTATGGCTTCATGTATTTGCAATTTTCCCTGCCACTCCATGTTCTCTGCAAGTAATAGCTGTACATTTTACTGAGCTCCAACTGAGACTGAAACTGCTTGAAAGGGTACCAGAGGGGGAAGCTGACAAGGTGCAGCTGTACTATGAATCTGTATGTTTTTTCCTGAGAGGCTAGGTAGAGGGGAGTTAGAACGGCTGGGTCAGGCAGAGAGAACATGAAGATGACCTTGCTCAGAAAGTATCTCCCAGAACATTCTGGGAGTTAGTCTTAGCCAAATGCACCTTGGGGGAATTTGGTGTTTTTCATATTTTAGAGTGAATTTAGTTAGTTCCTCACCTGTGTGTTGCTGGGGCCTGAAAGAAAGGATGCTGGAAACAAGGAAGATGCTCATTAGAATGGAAGGCAGCCCTGTTTGGTCAGAAACTTTGGACAACCAGAGGGTGCTGTGTGTTTGAGATACAGAAAAGAAGAGGCAGGAGAAGAAACTCGGAAGGAGTAGGGATAGCAACAAAAGCCAGCCTTGCCTGCTTGATACATTAGCTGGTGTATTAACCAATATGAAGCTGAAAGCCCAGTTAAAATATCTGCAAATTTGAGATATTCCAAGTCTCAGCTATTTCCCTGCAGGTCAGCCTCCTCAGCTCAGCATTGCCAGGTGTTTCCTTGTCCATTCCTGTGCTTGAAAGAAAGTGAGGGGGAAAGAGTGGGGGCAGAGAACCCCTACATTTGGATGTCTACTTCTCCTTTAGCCAGTGGACTGTTAAGAAAAACAAAATGATGAGTTGTGCAGAGCAGTGATAATGAACAGCTACTCTGGCGTGTATGTCATGAATCCGTGCAAACCTATAGGTATTTCCATATGTAACTACAATATGATCCATCTGCTATAATTTAATCATTTTTCTTCCTTTAGCCCTTCAGTTAATCAACTATTTTATTTGGGAGACAACTGACTCCTACTACTTAAGACTATTTGTTACTGTTACATCTACTGCTGCTTTTGGCACATTGGATTTTCCGAAGATTCTTTCCTGGTCTTAACAATATTTTTCACTGTGGTCAGTACTGTGCAATAGAGCTTTCTGTGATAATGGAAATGTTCTATATTTGTGTTGTCCAATACAGTAGTCCCTAGTCCCACATGACTCTTCAGCACTTGACAAAGTGTGGCTAGTGTGATCAAGGAGCTGGATGTTAAATTTTATTTAATTTTAATATATTTAAATTTAAATAACCCCATATGGCTACTGGCTATCATATTGGACAGCTCCAGGTGATAAGATAGAACTTTCTTTCCCTGCCTTATTTTAAAAATATTTTTAACTTTAATGTAATTTTAATCTACCAGAAAAGTTAGAAGAATAACACAATGCACTGTTCGTCCAGATTTGCCAGTTGTTATAATTTTCCCACATTTGCTTTATCATTCTATTTATTCATCTATCTATCTGTATTTTTTTCCTAAACCACTTGAGAGGGAGTTGCAGACACAATGGCTCTTTGTTCTAAATACTACTGTATTTTCTAAGGCCAAGGACACTGTTTTATATAATCACAGTACAATGATCAAAATCAGAAAATTAACATTGAAACAATACTGGTGGGATGCCTGGGTGGCTGAGTCAGTTAAGTGTCTGCTTTCGGCTCAGGTCATGATCCCAGGGTCCTGGGATCGAGTCCCACATCGGGCTCCCTGCAGTGGGACTCTGCTTCTCCCTCTCCCTCTGCCTGCCGTGCCCCCTGCTTGTGCTCTCTGTCTGACAAATAAATAAATAAAATCTTTTTTTTTTAAAGGAAAAAACAATGCTGGTATTTAATCCAGTACATGTTAAAATGTGATCCCAGGCCAGCAGCATCACTATTACTTGGGCACTCGACCCCAGCCTTGCTAAATCAGAAATTCTGGAGGAGGGGTCTGGCAGTCTCTGTTTTGACAAGTCCACCAGGCAAGTCCAAAACACATCTAAGTTTGAGAACCACCCTTCTAATCCATAATCCATCTTCAAAGGTAGCCCACTTGTCCCATTTATATCCTTAGAAAGGACATTTCTGTATGTTTCTTCTCGCACAGGATCCAGTCCAGGATCATCTGCATTAATTTTTAAATTCTGGTGGTTTCCAAGGACTGAGCTACTCTCTCAGGAGGGGCGTTGCCATGGTGATGACCGCAGGCAGGCCCCGGGGGAACCTCTGCGGGGCTTCCAGGGCTCCATGCTGCTGAGCTGTCAGCCTGTCACTTCCCCGACTCCCAAGGAATGACGTGTGCGGATCACTCGTTCTTGTTGTTAACAGAGATATTTCTCATCTTCAGACCCAAATTTGCTCTTAACTCGCACAAGCTTGGCATTATCCTCTTTTTATTGAGGTAAGATAATATTGGAAATAGCAGATGGCCAGACTTGCACCTCATAGGAAAATGCCCATCACCATTGAAATAGTTGGTCTTTTTATCTCCAAGTTTGCTCTTTTGTAATTTAATTTGGGACCTTGCAAGATTGAAATATATAAATGCATTCGTGAGGCTGCTACATCCACCACTCAACCCTTTGGGCACATCACATCAGATTATGAGTGTGAAAAGCAAATAACTGAACTCTCACAACTTCTTGTCAAGATCTAACCAAATCTTTGATGAGGAATAGTTCCAAAACTACCAAAGTGGGAGAGTATTTCAAATATTGGTGTCTTCTCTTCTCCCCCACCCCCACCACCCAGGGTTAAATGGAACTACTTCCTGTTTCCCGTCCATACTGCATAGTTTCACACCTCTTCATCTGTACTTGGACCATTCCATTTCAGAATGTCCTTCTTCAAGTCCTAGTCATCCTCCCAGGCCCAGCAGAAATGCATCCTCCTTTAGAAAGACCCCATAATCTCCCGGCTGGAAATCTCTCCCCACCTGGTCCCCCTACTGCCACCCCATAGCATTTTATGTCTCTTGGCACTCAGCACATTATACATAGTAGAAACCATCTCAAACTTTCAATGTGAGATCGATCCTTTTCTGATTCATTTTTGTATCACATGGACCCACGGAGTGAGCCAGAAGGAAATTAGCACTCAGAATTTTTTTTTTTTCTCAGAAATTCTTTATCACTTGCTTCCAGCTGCCTCCCACCTCATTTCTGTCAAACACTAATGGTAAAAGATAAAACATTGGATCCTTCTACCTGTTATATATGTCAAAAGCATTTTGTCCTGCCTTATTTTGCTGGCTCCCTAACAATGTACTGCTCTAGAGACCTGTGAGATACTACCTGAAGGTTGTCCTTTTGGGTGAAGACAAGACATCCCCAGAAACCTGGACATTCACTTAATAGATGCAGTAGAGGATAGGTGAGATCACATATCTTCAGTAGAGAGAGAACATATGACTATCCACCAAAAGCAGGAAAGGTTGAACTTGTCTATTTTCTGCTTAGCGATATTAACATAACTAAACAAAAATTTATCAGTAGAACAGTAGTGCTCAACCTTGGCTGTACATTAGAATCACCAGAAGATTTAAAAAATTACAAGACCTGAGGCCCATCTCCAGAAAGTCTGATTTAATTGACCTGGATTTTTATCTAGACATCAGGAGTTTTGAATGATCTCCAAGTGATTCGAATGTGTGGCCAAGGCTGTGAACTGCATAAAAAGGGGGATAGTTAGTGTACAAATAGAAAAATGGAGTCATAAAAGAAAACTTTATTAGTGTTTATGGAGCACTGAGAAAAGATGAGGCCCAAACCTGAGAACTGCAAAGTATGGCTCTGACGGTGGGTTAGGTTTTATGCTCAGGCACCTCGCTTGGTGCTATTATTCATGAAAATTGCCTAGTCTATTCTCCTTGCTCCATGTGCAACTTCTGAATACAATGCAGCTCTCTACTTAGGCCTCTTCTAAAAGGAAAAAAATCTGCTGGCTAAACTGACAAGAGCTCCCTGTTGTCTTGGCAGTTGTAGTTCTCAGTGCATATGAATAAATTGGCATTCTAGGTTATTTATTGGTTCCTTAAGAATTTCAAGTTCACAAAGGCAGTAGTAATCATTGATCCCCAACTCCGTGTCTGATACAGTTCTAGAGAGTGTGGGGCAATGGAGATAATACGCTAGTATTTCTTTAATGAACCTGTCTGGTAGAATAAATGAACCATTTCGAACAATGGCAAAAATACAAGGGGGATGTGGTAAGGATCAAGGGAATGGGGTGGTTAAAGTGCTGTGGGAGTTAAGAGAGGAAGAAATGACTTTGGACTGCAGGAACCATGGAGGAGGTGGCATTATATTTGAACTTGCAGTTTGGCAAGGATTTGGTCAAGGAGACAGGGCAAGGACATTTGAGTTAAAGGGAATAATGTGATAAACA